GTCCGACGGCGCTGACGGCTCTTAGTGGCGGTCCGGGGCCGCCGGGCGCCCCTGGTGGGTGGCCCGGCCCCGGCCACTTCCCCCTCCCCCCCCTTGCCCCTCAGGCCCGGGGGAGGCTCGGGGCTCCCCTCCGAGTCTCTTCTCGCCCTTCGGGGCTCCGTGGGCCTTCGGCCCCTGCTGGGGGGCAGCCCCCTACCTATTTCAACTTCTTCCGTCCGAGACCGACCGGCCGTGTGTGCTCTTGGGCATGCGGCTTCTCCGGTCGACGCTAAATCCACAATAATAATAATAATAATAATAATAATTTTCATCCGGAACCTCAAGATGCTGTGAGGGCCAAACCTCAGCGTGATGATGGTGGCGATCGAGCGGGCCAGCGCCGACGTTCCCGCGCCAGTCGTCGCGTCGATACTATGTCGACGTCCTCGTCGCGTCGGTGTGCACGTCGGGGCTGCTCTCGGGCTGCGTCCTTCTGGGCGTCGAAAATGTCGCCGATTGTGGCAGACACAATTTTCCGCGACCCAAATTCAAACGAGGGTGGAGGCGCCACTCGAGATTCGCGGGCAAGCGCGCCGCGTTCACGACGAGTACGATGTTGTGGGCGGCGCGGGGCGTGTGCAGCCGCTCGACCGCGGCGGTCACGACGCTATGGGGCCGCCGCGCCGTCCGCCCGCTCGCCGACGGAGGTCTCGGTGATGTCGTTGATCCTCGCCGCCTGCTGCGCGCCGCCGGCGCGTCGTCCACGGCGCCGCAGATGTCGACGCGCTGCGAGACGACGCCGGAGACGCTGCGGCTCGGCTGGTCCCGCAGCACGGCGATCCTCGCGCTCGCGCTCTCGGCCGGCGCGCGCGCGGCGTTGTGCGCGGACAAGACGACGGCGCCGGCGGACGTCGCGGGGCTCGCCGCGGCCGCGGCGCGCGACTGGCCGACGGCGTTGGAGGCGTCGACGACGGACGAGCCGTCGACGACGCAGGAGCTGTCGACGGCGCCGGAGCTCGAGTCGACGACGCAGGACCCGTCGACGGCGCAGGACCCGTCGACGAACCCGTCGGAGCTCGAGTCGTCGACGCTGGCCGCCGAGGACGCCATCGGCGCGAACCCCCGGGACGAGGCGCCCGCGTGCCGCGTCGGCGACGCGGCCGAGCGCCGCCTCGCGGCGCGCCTCGCCAAGGACTCGGGGCCCCCGGTCCGCCCGCCCGTGCCCGCGCCGCTCGGCGGCCGCCCTTCCGACTCGCTCGGCCGGCGCACGGTCTCCCGCGCGGACGCCATCGACCCGTTGCTGCGCGAGGCCAAGACGTCCCTCCTGCGCGTGGACAAATGGGGCTGCGAGGTCCCTAGCGGCAAAAAGGACTCGAAGTTCATCGCGGAGCCCATGACGACGCACGTGCCGCCGACGAGCCGCCACGTGGCGGACGCCTCCGGCTTCCTCAAGGAGGTCGAGAACGTGCTGTCCGATGCAGGCGTCGACGGCATCCAGTTCGCCCAGGCGGCTTCCATTGACGCGAAGAAATTTTGCCCGCTCGAAACGTCGCAGCACCTCAAGGCCTACTTCGTGAAGATGGTCAAGCACCCAAAAACCGGGAAAGACTTCAATTCGGCGCCGACGGCGAACCAGAGCCTCTTCGAGGGCACGATCGTCGACTACGCGGTCAAGAACGCCCACCGCGCGCGCCTCGACTTCCGCTACCTCATGGCCCCGCTCTACGGCACGGGCTACTCGGCGGACAAGCACCACGACCAGCACAAGAAACGCGGGTGCCGGGCCGTCGGGGGCATCTTCGGAGGCACCAAGGCCCTCTCCGAGTTCGTCCAGGGCACCACCCCGGTCTCGCCGATCCGCGTCGTCGAGATCGACGACGGCGACTTCCAGCTCATGGACACGAACGTCCTCACCGGCGCCGTGCCCGCGGACGCCGAGCTCCTCGTCGCCGCGGGCCTCTCCGTGTCCGACCTCAACCCCGCGCTGCACGCGCGGATGACGCCCGGCGTCGGCGAGCGCGCGGGCCTCAAGGGGCCATTCGCGTTTTGGTCGATCGTCGGCGACTTCTACGGCACCGACGGCGTCGTGGGCGTCGACCTCTTCTCTCGCGTCGCCGGCTACCTCAAGCACCTCAACAAGGTCGCCAAGCCCAGCCCTTCCCGAAGTCCGTCTCCGTCCTACGCCGAGTACCACGCGGCGCACGCGGCGCGCGTCATGCGCGAGGAGGCGGCGAAGGCGGTCCAGGGGCCGAACCCGAGGCTCCAGGCGATGGGCCAGGCCTATTTGTCGAGCCAGAATTCGGGCGTGGGCTACGTGCTCCTCAAGGGCGTCTTCGACGCGAAGCGCGACCGCGACGACTTCGAGGACTGCCTCGCCGTCATCGGCGAGCTCCGCCGGGAGCTGCCCAAGGCGGACTCGCTCTTCGCCGTCGGCGTCCTCGACACGGACTGGCTCTTCACCCTCGGCACCGTCGAGCGCGACGTCGTGTCGGGGTGCTACGCGTCCGCGGACGCGGCCATCAACGACGCGCGCGCCGTCCTGCGCGAGGCGCCGGCCGCCGCGGCGAAGTTCGACGACATGCTCGCGGCGGCCGTGGACCGCAGGCCCGCGAAGCGCGCGCGCGTGGCGCCCGCCGAGGGCGCGGCGCCGCGGCCGCGGGCCGGGAGCGGGCTGAGCGCGGCGCAGATCGACGCGGCCGTGATGAGCCAGCCCGCCGTGGCCATCGCCTTCGGCGACCGCATCGCGGCGCTACGGCCCCTCGTCGCGGCCGGCGACGGCGAGCCCGGCGCCGCCGCGCCCGTCGACGGCGACGCGCCCATGGCCGACGCGCCGGCGGCGGACGTCGCGCCGCCGGGGGCCCTCTGGACGCCGCTGCAGAAGCTCCAGCTGGAGCACGCCGTGCGGCTGCTGGGGCTGGAGGCGTCCGCGGCGCAGCTCCGCGCTCTGGTCCCGTCGCGGTCCCTCGCGTCCGTCGGCAATCGCCTGAAGGAGATGCGCGCCGCGTCCGACAAGGACGCCTTCCTCGGCAAGGACCTCACCTCCATCATCGGGGTCGGGGCCGTCGGCGACACGCGCAACTACGCCGGGGAGCTTGCGGCGGCCGCGGCCCGCGGCGCGGCGCCGCCGCGCGTGGCGCTGCTGCCGCCGGACCTCCGGGGCCGGCCGCCGCCCGCGCGCCCGATGTCGCCCGCGATGGCGGCGGCGCCGCCGGCGCTGATGCCGCCGGTCGTCCAGGGCCGGCCGCCGCCCGCGCGCGACCGCGGCTCGCCCGTGCCGTCCACGCTCATGCTCGCGCCGGCACACGCCGCGGAGCTCGCGGCGCCCGCGCCGAAACGACGCAAGGCACGCATGCCGCCGCCGCAGTTCGTCGTGAAACTCATCGAGATGATCAAGCAGACCGGCGTCATCTGCTTCGAGGGCGGCGACATCATCATCCCGTCGACGGAGGCGCTCGAGAAGCGCCTGGGCGACTACTACAGCGGGGCCAAGTACGCGAGCTTCACGAAGCAGCTCAACAACTTCGGCTACCAGGCGGACGGCAAGGGTGACGGCGTGCGGTACCGCAAGGTCACGGGCGGCGAGACCGTGACGACGGTCGAGGATCTGCTCTCGCTCCGGCCGCTCCCGCGGCGCAAGTCGCCGCCGGCCGGCTCGGCGTCCGCGCCGGTCGCCGCGGCGCCGAAGACGACGCCGCGCGACGGCCTCGTGCCCGCGGCCGAGGTCCTGAAGATGCAGGAGCAGCTCCTCAAGCTCCAGTCCGAGATGGCGGCGCTCAAGCGCCAGGTCGGCGCCGACGCGCCGTCGTCCGAGTCGTCGTCGGCCGCGGCGAGCGACGACGACGACGACGAGGCCATGCCGCCGCCGCCCGCGCCGGACGCCGACGGCGCGCGGCCGCCCCGGAAGCCGCTCGCCAAGTTCCGCTTCGTCGTGCGCCGCCGCGACGCGACGCCCGCAGCGCGCACGGTCGGCGTCGCCCACTCGCCGTCGAGCGACAGCCTCCCCACGGAGTGCGTGAGCCTCAACGGCTCGAGCCCGCCGAGCCCGACGAAGCGCAAGGCGCCCTGAGCCTCCCGAAGAAGCGCCGAAAGCACGCGTGAGGCGCTCCTGTGCCGCCGCGCCTCGCCCGAGGGCGCGAGCCGGGACCCCGCCCTAAAATGCCACGTAGTGTCCTCGACTAGAAGTCTCATTGGTGCAGCCGCGCCGCGCGGCGTCGCGACTCGGACGCCCTCGCACGAGCTCGTCGTAGCGGGCCGCGCACGTCGCGAGGTCCGCGCCGTCGCAGCGGTCGCTGCCCGCGAGGACCGTCTCGAGCACCATCACGCGGCTGCCGTCGCCGAGGGCCGCCAGGGACGCCCCGAGGGCAAATAAATTTTTTCCTCAAGATCAGCTCCACTCGCTGAATTACGAGCTCTGCGCTGCTCGCGCCGCAGGGCTGCCGCACCGCGCCGGCATCTCCGATGGCCGCCGCGCCGCCGCCAAAAAAGGCGAAGAAGGCCGAGAAGGTCTGCTGCGGCGTCGGCGTGCTGGTCGTCAGCGGCGGCGGAGACAAGGTGTTGCTGGGCCGGCGCAAGGGCGCCCACGGCGCGGGCACCTGGGCCCTGCCCGGCGGCTGGCTCGAGAAGGGCGAGTCCTTCGAGGCCTGCGCGCTGCGCGAGCTCGAGGAGGAGACGGGCCTCGTCGACGTCGCCGGGCCGCCCGCGGCCGCGCCGTTCGTGTCGAACAACGTCGCGCGCATGGACGGCGTCCACAGCGTCACGGTCTTCGTGCGCGTCGACGTCGCCGGCGAGCCCGACGCGGAGGTCCGCGAGCCCCACAAGTGCCACGAGTGGGCCTGGCACGCCATCGGCGACGCGCTGCCGGAGCCCGTCTTCCCGCCGCTCGCGTCCCTCGCCGCGTCCCCCTACTGGGCGTCCCTTAAACCGGCGCCCTAGCCGCCCGCGACGGGGACCGCCGCGTCCGTGGGGACGTACGCGCGCGGCGTCGGGGGGACGTATGCGGCGCCCTCGTCCGCGGTGCCGGGGGGGCGGCGCCGGGAGGGAAGCGGCCGCGGCGCCCCCGAGCTCGTCCGCGGCGCCGTGCCGGGCCTCCCCGCGGGGAGTCCGGGGACGCCGCGGCGCGCGACGCCGGGAGGAGTCGGCTCTAGTATACAAAAGGGAGGTTCGGGGGCGGCGCTGCGCCCGCGCGGGCGACGTCGCCGCCCGCCCTAGGAGAAGTCGCGGTCCGGGAAGAGGAGCCCCGCGACGAGCGTCCACTCGTAGAGGAGGAAGAGGCACCACTGGGCCGCGATGTTGAGCCACATGGACACGAGCCCCGCGAGGGGCGCGACCTTGCCGCCGTTCGCGGCCTCCCACGTGCCCCAGTTCGTGAGCGTGCACGCCGCGTACATGGACACGAGCGCGAGCGCGAGGTTGAAGCGCGCGCCGTCGCGGTCGCCGCCGTCGAGGCAGTCCATGGGCGCCGGGCCGAGCTCGGACTTGGCGCTCTCCTCGTCGTCGTCGCCGTCCTTCGTCGGCACGAGCTCCGCGCCGAGGTCGCCGCCGTCGAGGAGCTCGCCGACGGCGCCCGACGAGGCCTGCGTCGTCCACACGAGCGACACGAAGGCGAGGAAGAGGCCGATGGTCACGGAGGGCCAGTCGTGGCCGCGGTCGTGGAGCGCCGGGTTGCACCGCGCGTGCGGGTCGCGCGACACGGCCGTGTAGAGCACGAAGACGCCGTAGGCGCAGACCGCGGACGACGTGAGCAGGTTGCCGCTCTCGGACAGCGCGAGCTGCGTCGCGCAGACGGCGACGCAGAGCACGAGCGTCATGGCGACGAAGGCCGTCGTCGTCGCGCACTCGGAGAAGAAGACGAAGAGGCAGACCAAACCCGCGAGCGCGGCCGCGAAGAGCAGGAGCGCGAAGCCCACGAGCGTCGCGAGCGAGTCGTCGAGGCCGCAGGTCGCCGCCGACCCCTCGCCGTAGCCGCCGGACGCCTGCGACGCCTCGACCATGTAGTCGTTGACCTGGTACGCGAGGTCGATGATGACGACCATCTGGAGCACCGCGAAGACCGACGCGCCGACGCGCGCGACCCAGACGTAGCCGGCGACGAGCTCGAAGGGCAGGAAGAGCGCGCCCGTGACGAAGGCCGCGTAGAAGACGACCTTCAAAATCCAGAGGCCGTCCTGGTACTGCTTCGACATGCGGCAGCCGACCCAATTGCAGACGAAGAACGCGACCGTCGCGACGTTCACGCGGAAGACGCCCTGCTGGCCCAGGCAGGCCGCGCCGTCGCAGGCGCCGCCGGGGCCCGTCCACTCGTCGAAGTGCGCCATCTTGTCGCCGACGCCGTACTGGAAGATGAACGACAGGACGACGCTGTAGATCACCACGAGGAGGCTGCCGACCTTGCCCGCGCCCCACGCGTCCTTGCCGCTCCCGGCGCAGGCCGCCCCGGAGCAGCAGCGCACGCCCGTGAAGCACGACACGCAGGTCGACATGGCGCAGGAGCAGGCGCTGCAGAGGCCCGTGAAGATGGAGCAGAGGCCGATGCTGCTCGCCGCGCCGCCGGCGACGCCCGCCGCGGGGATCATGGCGGCGCGCGCGGAGCGGGGGGTGAACGGGGGCGAGGGGGCGAGGAGCGGGGGGCGAGCTGAGGGCGGCCGCGCCTGGGACGACGACGACGCGCGACGCGAGCCCCGAGCTGGGGAGGACGCCGAGCCCGGTGTTTCTTCGAACGGCAAGAAGGCTGCATCATGCAGACAGAAATGAACAACGAGCTATCAACGAGCTGCCCCGACGCCATGGCCCTCTCGCACCTGCCTTCCCGCTAGGCCGCTCTCGCGCGTGTGCCGCGCGTCGCGGCCCGCGTCGCGCGACCCGTCCGCCGGCGGCGGCGACCGCCGGCGCGTCGCGCGCGCCGTCGCCGCGCCCTCGTCGCCCCGGGTTTCCTCGCGCCATGGAGGCCAAGCACGAGTGCGACGACGAGTGGGCGACGTCGTCCAAGGACGACGAGGCGACGTCGAAGGACGGCGACAAACGCGGCGACCCGTCCGACGCCGAGATCTGCGCCCGGGTCGCCGCGTTCCTCTTCGAAGCGCTCGAGGACGAGTCGTCGCCCGAGTTCCGCGCGCTCGACGGCTTCCAGCGCGCCCATCTCGACGCCTTCGGCGCGGCCGAGGAGATCAGCTTCGAGCAGGAGGCGCTCCACCGCGAGTTCCTCGCGCTCCTCGAGCGGACCGTCGAGCGCTTCGTCGAGGACGACGTCGGCGCGTCGCCGGGGAGGTTCGCGGCCGCGGTGCGCGCGGGCCTCGAGGCCCGGAGCGACGACGCGGGCGAGATCCTCGACGCCTTGTTCGACCTCGCGGACCTGGCCTGCTGGGCCGAGGCCATGCGGGAGCGGCGGCGGCTCGCGCGGCCGCGGCCGCCGGCGCGCGCGCCGGCGACGGCGGCGGCGAAGCGCGTCGTCGACGGCCTCGCGTCGACGCCGCTCGGGCGCGCGAAGTGCGGCTTTTAGGGCGCGGCGCGGGGGGTGGCGCGCCCTAGGACATCGGGAGCTGGATCGTGTTCGACGGCGGCACGATGAGCTCCTCGTTGACCTTCGCGTTGAGGTACTGGTTGATGAGGGCCTTGAGCTGGACGTTCTGGTCCTGGAGGGACTGGACGCGGTTGATCTCCGACGCGCGCTGGCGCAACACCTCGTTGTACTGGAGCAGGCTCTTCTCCAATTGGTTCCAGACGCCGAACGTTCCGTCGGAGACGACGTCCGCGAGGCGGTTCCAGAACTCGCGCTCCTCGGCCTGCTGGGACCGCGCCGCCGCCGCGCCGGCGCCGTCGGCGCCGGCCCCGGCGCCGGCGGCCCCCGCCTCGAGGCCCAGCGCGCGGTCGCGGCGCTCGTCGACGAAGGCCTGGATCGCGCGGACGACGTCGTCGGGCTGGATGATGTTCTGGAGCGAGCGGAACGCCGCCGGCGGGTCGTCGTAGGCCGGCCCGTCCTCGCCGAGATTCGACTCGGACCCGCCGTCGCTGCCCTCGCTGAAGAAGTGGGACACCAGGAGCGCGACGTCGTCCTCGTCGGCGACGCCGAGCGCCCGCAGCATGGACTCGGCCTGCGCGAGCTCCGCCTCCTCCGGGCTCAGCCGCGCGATGGCCTCGCGCACCTTCGATTCCACGAGGAAGCCCGCCTCCTGGCTCAGCAGCTCGAGCATGGCCTTGAGCTTCGCGCCTGTGCCGGAAACAACCAGTGGAACGCCCCGTCCAGCAACAACTTCAAACCTCTCTATCTCGGTCAAATCGAAGTCGATTCGGCTAATATTTGAACGGATCGTGTTTTCTCAGCGAGTTCTTTCGAAATAGTGAAGAAACTAGGTCGAAATCGTGCAAAAACATGCATTGAAGTCGTGATGAATATTTTTGTTTCCCACTCAGCTTCGCGCCGGGCACCGCGGGCGGCTTCCGCGGCGCGTCGTCGCCGTCGCGCGCGCGGCCGCGCGAGTCGACGGACGCGCCGTCGGCGCCGCCGCCCGGCGGGCCGTCGCCGTCGGCCCGCCGCCGCGCCGCCGCGTCGCGGAGCAAAGCCAAATTCGGCGGCTTCCAGCCCCAGCCGAGCTGCTGCGCGTGGACGATCTCGTCGGCCTGGAGCACCTTGGCCACCAGATCGTTGACCTCCTCCTCGTGCATGCCCCAGACCTTGTCGAAGCGCTGCTTGTCGCTCACCTCGAAGTGGCGGAATTTCGCCTGCAAATCGCGGTACTGCTTCGTGATGCGGCGGTACTCCTCCGTGAGCTCGTCGTTCTTCTTGCGGTCGCGCGCGTCCGTCTCCTGGTACTTGGCGACGATGGCGGAGAGCATGTCCTTGAGCTTGTTCTGCTTGCGCTTGAGCTGCGCGAGCGTGTTCGAGTTCTCGTTGTCGCGCTCCGTGAGCACGCGGTAGTTGTACTCGAGCTTCTCCGTGTTGAGCTGGTACGTCGCGCGCATCTCCTCGAGCTGCTGCTCGAGGGTCTGGATGTCGGTCTCGAGCTTGATCTTGAGCTTGTTGTACTCCTCGCCGTCCTTGACGAGCAGCTCCTCGATCTCCTTCTGGTACTGCTCCTCGCGGTCGCGCTTCTTGTCCATGTAGAGCAGCTCCATCTCGCGGCGCTTCTCGAAGAGGGCGTCGATCTCGCCCTTGTTCGCCTGGAGCAGGTCGTCGCGCTCCGTGAGGAACGCGTCCTCGATGGCCTCGAGCTCGACCTCGTACTCTTCCTGGAGCTCCTTGAACTCCTGCCGCATGCGCCGGAGCAGCTCCTCGATGTCGTCGGCCTGCTGCTTGAGAGCCTTGACGTACTCCTCGTCCTTGGACTTGAGCTGGAGCTGGAACTCGCGGATGAGCGCGTCCTTGGACGCGATGATCTCGCTGCACGCGGACTTTTGGGCCTCGATCTCGTTGTGGAGCTCCTGGGGCATGTTCTGGTCCAGCAGCTCGGCCCAGCGCATCTCCACCGCCGCGTTCTGCTTGCCGCTCCGCACGGCCTCCTCCTGGAGCCGCTGGAGCCGGTCCTGGCGCTGCTTCTCCTCCGCGACGCGGCGCTGCGCCTCGCGCCAGTCCGCGGCGACGCGGACGTGGGTCACGTTCTCGATGCCGCCGGACTTCTTCTTGTCGAGGTGGGCGAGGGAGTTCGCGATCTGCTGCTGGCCCTTGGACCGCTTCGACTCCTCCTGGGCCTCCTTGCCCCGCCCCTGGCCCGCCGCATTGTCCTCGCTCGCGTTGCGCGCCTCGACGCGCCGCTGGCGCACGCGCTTCCGCTCGTCCTTGTTCGACACGTTCGTGTTGTACTCGCCGTCCATGGCGGCGACCGACGTCCCGCGGCGCGGGGTCCGGGGCCCACCACCAGCGCTCGTTGCGCTTACAATCGGGATACTCGCCGCAACGTCGGCTCGTTGATGGGCAGCATCGGAAACTTGGCTTTTTCGTGGCCGCCACGAGGTGGGCAGCTCTGCGAGAAGTTGAACCACCTCATGGGCCGCATCCGAAGCTGCCCCGGAGGCGCCGCGGCGCCGGCGTAGCGTTCGTGCGCCGCGGCGCGGCGGCGACCGTCGCGCGGCGGTCCGCGCGGCGCGGCGCGTCCGCGGTCCGCAAAGGCCGCCCCCGCGCCCATGGGGCCGCGGCGTACGTGTCTCCTGCTGGCGTTGTGGCTCCGCGGCACACGCGGGCGGCTCATCCTGTGCATCGGCGACAGCATCACGGCGGGCTTCGGGTCCACGGACCGGTCCCGCGACGCCTACCCCATGGTCCTCGACGGGCTCCTGCCCAACGACACCGTCAACAGCTACTTCCTCGGCGGGTCGAGTGCGACGCGGGGCACGCCGCGGCCCTTCTACGGGTCCATGGCGCACCAGCTCGCCCTGGCGACGAGGCCCGACGCCGTGCTCATCATGCTCGGCACGAACGACTCCAAGGACCGGGTCTGGCAGCTCGCGCGCTTCGAGCGCGACCTCGAGGCGCTCGCGGCCGGCTTCGCGCGGCTGCCTAGCCGGCCCAAGGTGCTCCTCCTCGCGCCGCCGCCGCTCTACGCGGCGCCCTACGACTTCCGGCCCGAGGCCATCAACTACGAGGTGCCTTTAGCGCTGCCCGCGGTCGCGAAACGCGTCCGCAACGCGAGTGCGTCGCTCCGCGTCTTCGAGGCGCTCGGCGGGCGGGGCCTCGCCTGCCCCGAGTGCTTCTTCGGCGACCCGCGCTACACGAACGACGGCGTCCACCCGACGGACTACGGCTACCACCGCATCGCCGACGGCGCCTGCGCCGCGCTCGAGGACGGCCTCGGCGTCGCCTGCGCGCCCCACGCGTTCCCGAGGCCGAGGCCCGCGTCCGCCGCGCATCGCGCGGCGCCCGCGGCCCTCGCGGCCCTCGCCGCGGCGCTCGTCGCGCGCGAGCTCGCGAGCTAGACACGGAGCTAGATCGAGGGGGGCGCGGCGTTCTTTGAGGTCGACCGTGATGGTCAGGTGATGGTGCAGCAAGGGGATATAAATCTAGATGGGGTGGCAGGCGAAACGCGAGGTCCTCGTACTACTCGGGGCCGCCGCTAGCGTTTTCTTTCTTCTTCCACGCCGCAGCGCGCGGGCTGAGTGCAACGATGGCGGGTCGCGCGGCGCGGCGCGGCTGCGGAACCCTTCGACGGGGCGGGGCAGCGAATTTGGGCTGCTGAGATCATTGCGTTGGCTCGCGAGCGCGACGGTTGTTCGGCGGCGGGACGAGAGGGCGGCGGTGTGAGTCGAGTGTGCGATATTTTCTTGTCCTTAGAGGTTGGAGGCGCCCTATGGGTACCCGCGGGGGGCTCGAAACCTTCAGGACACACTTTTCCCACGATCTCAGAGCCTGCGCAGCCCCGGCGCCGACGGTGTCGCAACACAGTTTCTCGGGCAGCGTGCGGGCATTCGAGGTCGAGAACTTTTCGTGTCCTGAGATGCTCGAGCCCATCCATAGGTACCAACGAAGGGCTCTGCAGCGCCAGCAGACGGTCCACGACCATCATCATCGCGAACACGTCCAAGAGCTGCCCCAAAACCCCCTTCCTCGCGTGGCGCCAAACCGGACACGGTGCCCTCCAGCGCGCCTCGGTTTCCTTCCACCGGACCCGAACCGCCCGGACGCGTAAGTCTTGTCGCGGGCGCCTTCGCGGGGGAGCGAATACCGCTG